TTTGCTTCAACGCTCACTTTTAAAAAAGTTCACTTTTATCCAAACAAAAAATTATGAACAAAACATATTCTATAATATTGGCACACATGACACAATGTATGAAAATAACGAACTGCATAGATTAACATATATAGTAATACTAGCGGCGTTTTATCATTTTTAGGTCTGGGACTCAGATTTCTGTATCTGTTTCATGATCATTTGTCAATCTAATACCCAAATCCCTTCTGTGCCTTTTTGGGTCTGAGACAAGTTCGCTCACGGTTTCCTCTGGATATGTTCCTTCACCGTTCGAGCATGCTCGTTTCATATCAAGAGGAAAGGAGTTCCAGAGCAGGATACTTTGCTCAGTAAAGAGGGAGCATTCAGTTATTATAAACATTCTTTCGTAATCAGGAAGTATTTGTAATCGAATTTGAACCAATTTCCAAATGGATATTGTGCGAATTGACGATTCATCTTAAAGTTACATCATTTGGTCTCGATTCATGACAATACATCGTAAAGTTATGTACTAAGTATGTTATAAGTTTTGCTAGTTTAGATTTGATTATTAGGAATGCAAATTGTATATCTTTATATATATAATTCTTCTGTACGTGTGTATGTCACTGAACTCCTAAACGGCTGGACCGATTTGAATGAATATTGTATGCGTTTGGGTGGCGCCCTGGATGGTTTAGATTCACAAATCAGTTTGCAGATGGCGCTGCAGTCGGTATCTAGGTTATTTATGATACAAATAAACAGCTGGTATATACATAATCTTCTGTGCATGTTTTCGTAATTAATCTCCTAAACGGCTGGACAGATTTTGATGAAAATTTGTGTGTATACAGGACAACGTCTGTCTGATCCGCTAGAAAATCACTATAAATGAAACTGTGCTAAGCGAACTCGAAGACGACTTTATTTCTTTACTTAAACTCTGATGAAGGTTGTTGTATCTTAGAGTTCTTTTTTTTCACAAAAAGTCCATCAGAAACCATTGGACCAGAAATTGGAGAGAAACATGTGAAAATTACACAAAAAACCCTAACCTTTTTATAGAATGAAAAATTCATTCACTTGTTTATTCTGAAAATTTTATTTATTCTTACATAACTACTAATATCGTATTTTAAAAATATACTTTTATTTAGTTAGGTTTTTATTCCAGAAAGAGATTTCTATATTCTAACTGGTCACCCTAATGTAGATTATATTATGTGGGCTATTAAGAGGAAGACACTCTGTCCTTGTCTTTGGTCTTCTCCACTTACCACTATTAAACACTTTAGACTAACGTGCGCAGTACATAATAGCGGAAGATGTTGCATAAAGTAATAATAAATACATAGAAATCTTTACCTGACCTAAAGATGCAAGTTGCTTACATTTCGTGACTACAGTGAAAGCGAAAACAGAATGTGAAGAACAGTTGTGATCATTCTATCGTGTTTGGTTATTACCTGTATGAGTTTCGTTTATTGTATTAGTTTGTTTTTGTATTTAAACGGCAAACGGTCAGGAGGCTCATCTGATATTAAGTGATAGGGGTTCGCGAGTGCATTGCTTTTTGTTTATATTGGTAGTTAATTAATTATATTTATTATTTTTATAAATTACCAACTTTTCTACACAGGGAATTCCTGGAAATATGCATTGATTTTGTATATCTTGTTTTTAATTTAGTTTACGAGTAAGTGTTAATGGTGCACGTTTAGAGTTTTAATGGTTAAAGGCCGGCAACGCACTCGTGAGCGGTGAGATCTTTGGCAGGTTTCCTGAAGCTTGTTCTATAAATAAATATAGGATGTCATATCTCCCAGGGAAGACCCCGACTGGGAGTTGATTCCACTGTTCGCTAGTCCGCAAAAGAAAATGTCAGTGGAAAACTTCTTGCCATCAAGGGGATTCTACATACATACATCCAATTGTTTAAAGAAAGTCTAAAATCTCCCCCTCAATGGCCGCCAACGCATCCACTAAGGCTACGTCCGCACAGGCAGGAGGTTTGCTTAGCGCCTAGCGCCTAGCGAGTCACCAAGCGAGTAGCTTAGTAAAACGAACGTTCTAGAGTCTTCGCGAACGGCCGCATTGCGCGCTTGGCGCCTAGCTAGTCGCTTAGCGTGTATCGAAGTAAACAAACGTGTTGGTTTTTTGTCGCTAGGCGCGAAGCATTTTCGTGGTGGATGAAATATTAATTTCAATAGTTTTTAAAAGGGAACCTCTGTGGAATCCCTCTAATCAATTCCATAAAAATGCAGTCGTCTTAAAGAAGCTACGGGAAGAGGTAGCAATCGAAGTAGAAAAATACTGTTATGCTTTTTCGTAGATGAGTATCCAAATGAGTTAATTTTACTTTAACTTTACTGAAAAGTAGATCAAATGTTTCTCTGGGCATACGCAAATATTCGTAAAACTTTTCGTCATAATTACGCAATTGTTTATACAGAACATTAAACTCCCCATGACTTGACCGTAACTTATTTATGTCTTGGACCCAACATGGTAGAGAAGGTCGTGAAGTTGTATATTTTAAAGAATATTTTTCTGTAAGTAGCAGTTTCAGAGCTATTTTTGAAAGTGACATGTCGCTAACGTGCCGACAAACAAATGACCAACGCACCTAGCGAGCCACTACGCAAGACACCTTTAGTCCGGCCACCGTAGTCACCTAGCAAGTAGCCAGGCGGCAAGCCTCTAGGCGCTAGGCGCTAAGCAAACCTCCTGCCTATGCGGACGTAGCCTAATGGGTGACAATGGGCGTCACGTAGACCCGTTTGTTTGGTTTATAGTTTATCACAGTTATTAAAAATGTTTTGTTTTTTTGTTTTAAATATTATAATTCAATCACTGCGAAGCGTGTTACTTTACCAACTGTTTTAGTTCTAAGGTCAACGCATAATAAAATGTCAGTTGCATATTTTGTCTGACGAACTCATGTTACATTTACTATTTCATAACTGTTTTGAAACCAGCTAAATTGGCATAATTGGTGAACTTTAATTGCTCAAAGTGACCTATGTGAGTGATATATTAGACATCGATGACTGTTTCGGGTTGACAAAGAAGGTTAATCTTGCGCATTGTGATATTTAAATCATCCTTCTATTAGCTGGCCTATAATTTTTTTTTAAAGTGACACTTCTTTTAAATTTTTTAAAAATGTCACGAAGATGTGCAGCGTTTTTGTCGAAGAAAAGGGAGAGAGCGATTGAGACCGATTCAGAAGGGTGAATTACCTTATATTTTTAAAATTAAAATTTCGTAAAGAGAATTTATGAAATATTAATATTTTATATTTAAACAATAAACTACAAGCTCCCTCCTTATCAGAATGCCAAATCGTAAAATGACTGCTTCACGACTGATTTGAGCGCGACCGCCGCTGTAAAAACCCCTGTGTGAGTTCGAAAAGTGAGTTACAGAATCGCAAGACAGATGGCACAAGGAACATTCAATTTAAACTACTTTACTATTTATATCATACATTACCAATATTAAATCTAGTTAATAGTGTTTCCGGAAGCGCCAAGAACTATGCCACGCTATTATTCTTATATGTTGAATCAAAGGAAAAATTTCTCTATAGTTGGTCAATAGATAAAGGTCAAAATGATGAGTAATAACACTATACATCTCGGTGTTATGTAATTGTTTTGTAAACGGGCGTTTGAACCGTTGAATTTGTATGAATCAAAACTTGGTGATTAAAAAGAGCGACGGAAAGTTTCCTGCCAGTTCTTCTTGCCCGCTCTACGCCCTTGACTTGCGAACAGAAACTAGGAAACGAGAATTACAATTTATGAGTTAAAAACTAAAGGGCTCATTTTGGCTTCAAGTGTGCGATGATTGTTTACATTTTAAAATATTAATATGTAACTTAGGTTACATAACTCGCCAGTGGTTTGTTTTTTTTTTTTCTATTTAAATTTCACATGTCATAGTGATTAATTGATTTACAAGCTGCGCAATTCGTCTGACCGTAACTATTGTCCATTGTAGGTTCGATTCCCAGCGGTTGATGTATCGTTCTTAGAACAATAGGTAATCTTTATAGCACTTGTGAACCTTGACTTTATCTTTAAACAATTTGTTATGTTTTATTGGGGTAGTTAGACCTTTTACAGTGTTGGGTTAGTTTAACATGCGATTCTCATCCCTGGGGTCGTAACTCGTAAGTTGTATGAAGGAAAACATCGTGGGTGCATGTACTCCAAGAACGGAGGCACAGATGGTCACCTTCTTGCCAATTAAAATAATAGAAGATTGTGATGTGAAATATGGATAGAAAAATCTGAGGGCCAGACCTAAACTGTTGTAGCGCCATTGGTATATATTACACAATTATTTTACGTACTAATTAGACTAGACACTCTTTAAAAAAATTGGATAATGTACTCGAATATAGGCTATTCTTGTATGTAATATAAATGGCTATCTTTGTATATTTTCTATATCTTTATATATTACTAGCTGTTCCCTGCCACGCTGATGCACATTGTGATTGAATGATTGAGAAATGAGAAACTAAACAAAGAAAACATTTTATATAAGTTTAATTTTGCAATACTTGTGGAAAAAAATGAAAAATAAAAGCCAAAAAAAAATTGATAATAAAAAACAGATAAAATCAATCCTTGATGCGGATATATCATGCTAAAATTTCAGCTCGATCGGTGCAGATATTTTTGAGTTTCTGAAGCGTACACAAACCAAGATAACATTTTTATACAATATATAGGTATACGACTGTACGTATGTCTCTGAATTTCTCTTAAACGGCTGGATTTGAATGAATTTTTTGTATGCATTTGAGTGGCGCCCTGGTTGGTTTAGATTCACAAATCAGCCTGACAGATGGCGCTTCAGTCGGTACTTTCATACTTTGTTTAATATCCTAATCGCTTGAAATGTCTTGCAGGACAATGATTGTCGGGTGCGCTAGTATTTATATATATAATTTCTGATTTATTTTTGCTTCAATTTGAGTTATTTTTTTTTATTTTCAGAACATGAGGTGGTGCTTACTTCTTGCGCTTTGCGCGCTCGTATGCGCCGACGCATCGGAAACACACTCTCGCTTCCGTAAGTATTTCGATTAACATTATATTTAATTGTGCTTGTATGTTTGATGTGTTTTATGTATTATGTAACCAATATTTTTGTAAGGCCCAAATCAGATGCTTAGGAAAAACAATTCGTGTGTTTCTGTTGAATTTCAATGTCATTTGGGAGGTCCTAGACTCGATTTCTGATATAATAATGATTCTTTCAGTCGTAAGGCTATTAAAAAAAAATTTAAATGTGTTCCAAATATGTTAAAGCCTTCTTTATTAGTAGAAAAAAGGCCAGCAATTTGGAATATAGGTTCGGAATCCTACCGAACTAGACTGACGAGTACTCTCGCAACGCGCATTAGCGCTCATCATCTGAACTCTCTTCAAATTTGATCGCGCGTTGACGCGCGTTACATGTGAACATAGCCTTAAGTTTCCTCACGATGTTTTCCTATACCGTCCGAGCGAATGTTAAATGCGCACATAGAAAGAAAGTCCATTGGTGCACAGCCGGGGATCGAACCTACGACCTCAGGGATGAGAGTCGCTGAAGCCACTAGGCTAGCACTATTTAACTGTCACTAACTATATGTTATTATGTAGTTGTATATAACCTGATGTAACTAATATTATTTTTACAGAACCGAAAAGACAAAGGTCTAGAAATGGTATGTTCAAGGAAGGATTACTTATAATTTTACGCCTGGACGCATTTATTCGCTTGCATATTTCATAAAAAGATATGTTTCATTATTGCTTAGATAATACGAAATCAATTGTGAAATATACGCGCTTTAGCACTGGTTAAAGGACACCACAAGTCATGGCAGAGAGGGTTTTAATATGCTAAAGTAAATTGTCAAACCAAATTTGTTTCTTGTCGTATTCAAACACGTCGTAAATGATTCTTGTGACTGGGTCTGTTTATTTTTCTGGGTCTGGTTATTTATTTCAATTAGGCCTATTAAAAAGGTACATTTGAAAGTCAAAATTACAAGTTAATAATATTGAAAAAAATTACTGTAGTTGCCCATTCCAAAAGGTAGTTTCATTTGGAGGCGCATGGTGTTATAAAAAAAATGCAGTAGATAACTAAATTATTATGTTGATACATGGTGCTCACATATTCACAAATATTGCAACTATAGATTTTTCAATTTCGTTTTTGGCTGGGTTTCTTCTTCTTTGTCTCTAATACCAACACTTTCGCCACTCTTTTAACTTTGAAAACTGGTGTCTCGGTAATTTGATTGTTGTTTCAAACATTTTACTTATCTGTCTTTTGTTTCTTCTTTTAACTCAATTTCTTGTACTTCCATTCATTAATCATCTGTATTCCAACATTAGTCTGCTTTTCAACTATTTGTTCTTTCTTACGTCTTCTCTCCTCTGAGATTTGTCTTTGGTGGTGGAATGACTCTCATAGACCTGCCTGACTTTGAGGCAATTTTACAGCCGACCAACTCGCAGATACTACAGATGAAATGATTGGTCAACTTTTGCAGTGGATTCAAGGGCTAACTCAACAACGAAGCCGTAAAGGTCTGTCTTAAGATCCATCATTCGAAATTTTCTCCTCCCACAGTTCTATATGTTTTTCAAGATTGTTTGGTACACTCTTACATTACACATATTGATGTTTTAAGTAGGGTTTGCTAGTCTATTAAAAAGAGTAAGTCACCTAGCACTGTAATGCACAGCTTAGCTACAACACAGTGCACATTGCATACAAAGTTAACTGTCAATTAAAATTAAAAATTAAAATGCTATATTCAAAATTTCAGCTCGTCAGTACTTTGGAGGAAAACCAGAGAAACCAAGGCCGTTTGAACCAGCATCGTACCTCCCACCTGCAACTGGTTATCCTGCAGCCGGTTCTCGACCGACACCGACCTACAGTGAAGGACCATCACCAACGTACCCTCCATTCCAACCTAGCGTACCGTTCCAGCCTTCACCTGAACAACCAGCTCAACCTCCTCATACAACAAACTATCAACCCAACCAGCCAACTGTCCCATCTTACCAGCCTTCATCAACCCCCGACCAACCCTCAGAAACTCCATTCCAACCAAGTCCTACATATTTCCCCAATCAACCAAGTCAACCAATTAACACAAATGGGCCAGACACAGATGAGCCTACCAATGGTTTCATTCCCAGTCAAACATCTCCCGCGGAACCCAGTCAACCAGAGAGAACTGATGAAACGTCGGCTCCTTCCGATGGGGCACAGCAAACAGTAGAACCCGAAAAACCTCAATATAACGGTCCACAAATAACACCGGTAGCACCAGACGATGATGAAGATCGTCACCCACCTCACATTCACGCCATTGCTGTCGATTGTGGTAAAGAAATGATGACAATTAACATTGAATTTAACAAACCGTATAACGGGATTATTTACTCTCAAGATCACTTTAAGGATCCGGATTGTATCTACGTCAGGGAAAACTCTAATCAAGCTAAATATTCCTTTACTGTCAGCCTAAACACATGTGGGACAAGATTTTTCAGCGATTTCGAGAATGAAGGTCAAGCGTATCTGGAGAATGTATTGGTACTGCAAAACGAGCCTGGAATTCAGGAGGTTTGGGATCACATTCGCAGAGTGAGATGTCTTTGGGAGGGTAATTTGACCAAGCAGCTAGTGTCATCGTTGAGCGTTGGAATGCTGAACCAGATAACGAGCAACTTTAGCGGAGACACGGCCATGGCACGTTTGGATATTCAGGCTGGAAGAGGTCCTTTTGCGCCAGAAGCCGATGGTTTAATCAAGATCGGAGAAACTATGACCCTCGTTGTATCTGTCACAGGAGATGCTGGCTTTGACATATTTGTTAGAGAATGCATAGCCCGTGATGCAGATAACAATTACGTTGTACCATTGACTGACTCAAACGGCTGCGTGCTTAAACCGAAACTGTTCGGAGCCTTCCAAAAAACAAGAGAAACTGGAAACACAGGCGCATCGATCATTGCATACGCATTCTTCAAGGCTTTCAAGTTCCCCGATGAAATGGACCTGATCATTCAATGCGAGGTTGAACTGTGCAAGACTGACTGTGAAGTGTGCACTAACCCTGGAAGCATAGAGCCCAGAAGAAAGCGTAGAGACGTCATACACATTGGTAACCAAACTATGGAACCAGTAACGATTGGTAAAGGTTTGAGGGTAGTTTTCGCTGAAGACTTGCCGATTGAACCAGATTTCTGTATGTCACCAACCACAGCCATGTGGGGCTCAGTCTTGGTTCTAGCTGCGTCATTGTTAAGCAGTATAACTGTATCTTATTGCTGGCAAAAATCGCGAGGTATAGTCAAGTTCTCGTAAGCGAAAACAGTTTATTAAGAATACTCAAAAATACAAAAAAAAACATTGATTATTATGTAAATACATCAAGGTAGTTCAAATTAGGAATAAATTTAGATTAAGTAGTTTTTAGATAAACCTGCTTATAATTGTTATTGAACACTGCCAATAAAAATCACTAATTTAATAGTATTCTGTTAGTCAATTAGACTTTATGGTTATCTAATTCATTAATTTATGTTGTGTGTTTGTAAATAGTATTTTTATTTGTATTAAAACTTTTAAGTAATTTACCATGTTTTATTTAATACTCCAAAAACCAAAATTTAGAGGGCCAACTTCTTCCTTTCGACCGAATTCAGCGAAGGGCTTGTCGAATTTTTATCTCTCGACGCAGAGACATTACTGTGGAGAGTGTTCTGAAGAGTTTTTTGGGTTGATCCCTCTTGCCTTGTTGCATCACTACGAGCCGTATGAATCCAAAATTTCATCCGCATTACACTAATGGCTGGAAGTCTTCCACCCTTTACTAAACATTTTCTTTAGCGAACTGTAAATCGACTCCTGGTGGGGTATTCTGGGAGAATTCCAATTATTAAGCCTTTATTGTGAGCCTTAAACGCCGGCAATGACCCAATAAAAATGGGCTGCAACGCTACGAGATTGGCCTATCCTATAAAAAAGGGCAGAGTCCGAGCCAGGCAGAGAGAGAGGGAGTGTTTGATTTATTTCATTATAATGAAATATAAGTATCATGAGGCATTAAGCCTTCAATATTTCGTCTTAATCAATATTCAAACCCAGATAGTACATTCCTTCTCATAGCTTACTCCATTGATCTGCTCTGAACGACCTTGTCGTTTAAGTAATCAGAAAATTTATAATTTTCATTTGATGTCTGTTAACATTTTTAAGGCTGTTTCTACCAACCTAAAACTAATATGTTTTCATTAATAGAACATAGTATAAATGCTCTATGTAAATACCTAAAAATCTCAACAAATTACCTTATTTTTCGGTCTATATGCCGGGTTTTTTCACGATGCTTCTCCTATATTTACTCGCTCCGCTGGCTCTGCGACCCAAAAAGTCTCTTGACCACCGAAATGAGAATCTTCCAACGCTCTCCGTCTTGTCCAACTTCCCGCCAAAGCTAGCTTTCAGCTGCAGCAAGTCCTCCTCTGTTGAGCCAGCGGTACCTAGACCGAGGTACGAAAACGTAAATAAATCAATAAGGCTTATTATAAATTTGACGATTATTTAAATGATCCTAATTAATTGAATTGATTTGCTCCAGTTCAAACAATTTGTATGACTCAAAACTTGGCGATTAAAAAGAGTGGCGGAGAGTTTCTTGCCAGTTCTTCTTGCCCGCTCTACGCCCTTGACTTGCGAACTGGTAGTAAATGTAAATATAGAAACAATTGAAACAAAATTCTGTCGACGTTCATATGTGTTGGTTACCTATATGAATAAAGTTATTTTGAGTTTGAGTTGGACCTACTCTCCGACCAATACTTCACCGCCTTAATATGGCCCATGAGCTGCCCCAGCCAACGTAGTTGATGGGCTCCATCTTCACTTCACTTCAAGAGACATTCCTTAATACATCGGCGGCTCTCAAACGCACAACCAATTTGGACTTAACCCAGTGAATAACACTTTATCTACTATTCAGGTTTTACACGTATTTGCTAATGTTAATTCATGCGGTAACATAATCAGATGAATTATATGAAATGTTGAGCGCTCTGTGGCGCATTTTATTTATTCACGAAAATTATATATATAGGTATATATATTTATTCTGTATCAAGATTACGGTTGATTACTCAATTAACAATGTTATTATATATAATAAGATAATTGACCATGGCTACGACCTCGAACTTCCCTCCTTTCTTCAGTATGTTACCAAAAGAGGAGGCTCAGTGATCGACAGTGAGCCGCCGCCCATTGGCACTCTCAATTCCAGAGGACTCGCGAGTACGTTGTCGGCCTTCTAAGAATTGGTACGCTCTTTTCATGAAGGACCCTAAGTCGAATTATTTCGGAAACACTTCAGCTACCCACATAGAGGTGCGTGGCAAAAACTGCCTTAAAAAAGCTGAATTGTGGAAAAAATTTAGAAATGGATCAACAATACCTTCAGTGAATAAGAACGCGACTAAAGAAGAAGATCTCAAATCCCACGACGGTTCTCTATCCGCTATAATTGTGAGGGAAACTGGAGAAATATATTATCGTATTAACAGACGACTTAACAGAATCGTGAAGTTCTTATTATATACTCATTGCGGACCACTACCATGACATGACAGTAATAAACACAGTAATTAGTAAATTATAGAAATGGTTTGAGATTAGGAGTTGTTTCTGCCACGTTGTCATTTTACACGTTGGATGGTGTAGTACAGTCAGCAAACAGTGATATGACATCTTTATATATAATATTATACATTTTTAATAGAACTTTTTTTTTATGGAACACCAAACAAATAATGTTAAGTGATACCGCCCATGGACACTCTCAATGCCAGAGTGCTCGCGAGTGCGTTGCCGGCCGTTTGAGAATTGGTACTCTCTTTTCTTGAAGGACCCTTATTGAAGTGTAAGTAAATCATATGTACCATAATATTATATTAGTTGGGCTGAATAGTTTGTTTGACTCATAGATGGCGCTACTAGTATTAAATTAATATGATTTTTAGGTAGCCCTAACCTTAAAAAGACACGTGTATACATTTGACAAGTTTCGTACTATTAGTTTGTGAGATATAGTATTTTGAGTGAAGGAATCGTAATTATCGTGGATACCTACAATTGCACTTCAGCATCGAAAAGTCAATATAACAAAAAGTTTTACGTTTTAATTTATACCGGCCAAGTAAAATAAAATAAAATAAAATATGTTTATTATGGAACATAAGATACATGTATCACTTATTCCACGTCATTAAATTTGAATTTGTAGGCATCCCTAAGTCAGGCCTAGTTCTATTTTAACTACAGACTAATTTTATTAATAAAAAATTAGTTGTGAAAATGACTCGAAAATTAAAATGATGTAAATGAAAGCGTTGTCAATACAACCCAAAAAACCGTGAACAAATTAGAAAAATTTATCGCAAAAATAATTTTGTCGTTTTGATTTTTTGAAGACATTCTCTATACTATAGATATAAAATTATTTTGCTAACGCTTCAGACAATAAATATTTGACTACCGTCTATTTACACGAGATAAAATACTACTCGGTATACTATCTGATCTCGAATTTGTTTTGTTAAATAGCTAGTTTAATCTTTAAAAAAATGGAACCGCATATCGAAGTAAAAAATCAAATAAAATTAAAAAAATATTAAATTTCCTTTCAATAATTGTAATAGTTATTAGTTGAGACATAAGTGTGACGGCGTACTATAACGAATGAATTCAAAACTTTTTCACATTTATGACTTCTGTGTCATTGAATTTTAAGTATTTTCTACTTTAGTTAGGAACAGATTTTCATTGAGGTTTAACAATAAACGTGTAAATGGGCCTTAGATTTCTGTACCTGATTAATGATCATTTATCAATCTAATAGGCAAATACGCGATCAGCTTTCTGTGCTTGATTCATGTCATGGTTAAGGCACGCTCACGATGTTTTCCTTCACCGTTCGAATTAATGTTAAATGCGCATATAGAAAGTCCATTGCTGGCTGGTGAAGAGCCGGTGATGAGAGTAGCAATCGCTGAAGCGACTAGGCCAACACTGCCCTGCGATTCTGTGACTCACTTTTCGAACTCACACAGCGGTTTTCGCATCGGCGGTCGCTCTCAAATCAGTCGTGAAGCAGTCATTTTATGATTTGATATTCTGATTAACAATAAACTACAAGCTCCCACCATTTCAGAATGCCAAATCATAAAATTACTGCTTCACGACTGATTTGAGAGCGACCGCCGATGCGAAAACCGCTGTGTGAGTTCGAAAAGTGAGTTACAGAATCGCAGGGCTGCTCTAACTGTAGGTATACACAATAAAACTATTCTTTCAATAAAATATTGTAATAAAAGGAAACTGGAAGCAAAGCATTGTTAAGATAACTTTAGAGAATCATAAAATTCAGTTTGCATACCCTAATCCTATGTAATAAACTATAGATATTATTTATTATACAAGAATGTTGCATCGTAATTAAAGTACAGTTTCACCACAAACAAGTTCTTGTAATATCTTGAAAATACAATGTTTTAAAAATCGTGAAGATTTTTGTTTCATGTTGTTGTGGGTTCAAAAAACATGTGAAAATGAGTGGAAAAGTGAAGACTTCAGCGCTTTTGGTTCAAACACTTGCGACATTCAGCAGTTTGTATTTTTTAATTATTACAATGCAGTAGCTGTAAAATTCCTCTATTTCTGGAAGTTAATGCACCAAAGTTAAACTTAAAATAAATAAATCAGTGGCGCTACAACCTCTTTAGGTCTGGGCCTCTAATTCTGAATCTGTTTTAAAATCTAATAGGCAAGTGATCAGCCTCCATTGCCTGAAAAACGCCGTCGACTTTTTGGGTCTAAGACATGTCGGTTTCCTCATGATGTTTTTCCGTGTTCCTTCTCCGTTCGTGCCAATGTTAAATGCGCACATAGAAAGAAAAGTCCATTGGTGCACAGCCAGGGATCGAACCTACGACCTCAGGGATGAGAGTCGCACACTGAAGCCACTAAGCCAACACTGCTCCAATATCATATATATTTTTCATCCGTGATTTTGGGTACATAATATAGCCTTTTTTACATTACGCAGTATATGTGGAAGAAATTCACAAAGTTTATAGTACACATAAAACACGATATTTAAAGGCCGGCAACGCTGTCGCGATCCCTCTGGCATTGAGAGTGTCATGGGCGGCAGTATCACTTAACATCAAGTGAGCCTCCTGCCCGTTTGCCCCCTGTTCTATAGATTTTTATTAAGTTTAATTAAAATCAGATAAAGGTCATTTAAGATTGAAATTGCTGCCTTTTCCTATTAAAAAAAAGTGTTAGTGGCTTCAGCGTGCGGCTGATACCTGAGCTCGTAGGTTCGTACCCCGGCTGTGCACCAATGGACTTTCTATGTACGCATTAAATACTCGACCGTACTCAAGGAAAACATCGTGAGGAAAGAGATCGTGATATCGTGAGAAATAGACGGCTCATTGGTGGTTAGTACCCCTGACTGCCAATCCATGGGTCCCGGGTTCGATCCCCGGCTGAGACAAACATCGATGTGATAAGCATTTGGTGTTGTGCTTTGGTGAATTGTCCAATCATAAAAATAAAAAAATCTTGCCTTAGACCCAAACATTCGACGGCGTGGCACAGGAGGCTGATCACCTACTTGGCTGATAAAAAACAAATGACTACGATAAACATACAATATTCTCTAACTCCTCTTTATTTTTACTAGTCGCATATCTCACCGGACTCACTGGCTTCATTTATGCTTGGCCGTCATACACTTATGAGACCTTCACAACGAACAAGACAGTGTTATCTGCCCCTCTCACTCCAACACAAATGTCTGTATTGGGGAGCTTGACAAACATTGGGGGACTGATAGGAACCCCCCTATGTGCCTTGGTAATTGATAGAATCGGGAGACGATATTCTGCTATGCTGTTTGGGCTGCCATATGTGGTATGTTATAGTAGTAACATATTTACTATATGTATAGGTTGAATTATTTAAAAGATGGTTGTAGTCTCCTTTATCTTCTATCTTTGCAATATTAAATTGTTATTAAAAAATCTTCTTACACAAGTACGTCCCGAGCCGATTTTCAAGGGCAAGGTCGAAGTAGGTACTAAGAATGGGAAATTACAAATAACAAAATTATACGGCCGTCCAATGTTATAATATGTTCATTACTGTCTAAGATCACGCGGTGTGTCCAATAATTATGAACAATCACGAAATTTATTTTTAATATAAGTAGTCATATCATTCAATTAGTTAAACCTTCTGAAGGTATTCTTACGCCTAAGGGCATATGATTAATTATTATGGTCTTAAATTGTAGATTATTATCAAATTTGATTTGAATAATGTATTATAATAATGTACTTTTTGGCGTCGGGACGTGACGACCCCATCGCCCACTGGTGAAATAACCTGTGACAGAGGTTATTGCATCAGCGCAATCAGTCAACCCCTTCCTAGTGGGAGTGCCATGCTGTTGCCTTCGGGCTTCAGCCAAATGGGCAGGCAAGACCGGGGCAGTACCACTGTCTCTCAGAAAACCGGCGTGAAGTGAGGCAATAGGTTTGCCTTATTGTACTCGCGTTTCGTACGGTGAGGGAGACTCCCGGAGCCCATCCCCCCCATATGAAATATGAAGGTGCAGAACAAACAGAATCTACCCCAGGGGGGTACCACACGCGAACGCGGTGGAGAATCCCCCTCTGAGCGTCCAACACCGGGACACTCAGCACCCGGTGGTGGACGCACAGGCTGCCCTTCGTATTCTGGGGGGGGCAATTCTGCGCTCGGTAAAAAAAACATTAATCGTTCTCGGGGCAAACGGAGCAATTCAACTAAGGCACCCCCGTCCACACTCGCCGTGGACTTCACAAATGTTAGGGGGCTCCATTCCAACATCAACGCTGTCCACTACCACTTAGAGACTGCGAAGCCGGCCTTGCTCTTTCTTACCGAGACTCAGATATCCCCCCCGGCTGATACTTCCTACCTCTCCTACCCGGGGTACAAATTGGAACATTCATTTGTGCCGCGGGCGGGAGTTTGCGTGTACGTCAGAGAGGATATCTGTTCTCGTCGCCTCGGGACGCTTGAAGGAAGGGACCTATCTAACCTCTGGCTGCGCGTAGACTGCGATGACCATCCGCGATTCTACGCATGCCTGTATAGGTCCCATAGCGGAAATACCGAAACTGACCGACTCATTGAGCACATCCAAATGGCTACAGATTCCCTGCTCGAAAGGGTTCCTACCGCTGAAATCGTGATACTTGGCGATTTTAACGCCCACCATGCCGATTGGCTCGGCTCAGAAACCACCGATCATGCGGGAAGATCCTTTCACGACTTTGCTTTGGCTTACGACTTGACGCAAATGGTCCCTGCGATTACGCGAATACCAGATGTGGATGGTCATAAACCCTCTTTGTTGGACCTTCTGCTGACTTCACATCCGGAGAACTACCAAGTCTCTGTTGAACCGCCATTGGGTTCATCAGATCATTGTGTGGTCCGGAGCATTGTGCCGTTCACGCGCCCTCTTCGGCCTAGGTTCACGGGCTGTCGCCGCGTGTGGCACTATAAGTCAGCAGATTGGAATGGGATGCGGTCTTTTTTGCGTCCTACCCTTGGGGGCCCATTTGCTTTTCGTCGAGTACTCCAGATGCCGTCGCTGACTCTGTCGCCGAGGTGGTCCTGCAGGGTATGGAACTTTTTATTCCATTCTCTGCGGTGCCGGTCGGTGGCAAGTCCCAGCCTTGGTTTAGGCGTTCTTGCAAAGCGGCTTTGCGCCGTAAGCGTGAATGCTTTAAAGCCTGGGCAGAAGCGGTGACATCCTGTGATGTGACTATCGGCGAACGTAAAAAAGCATACAATTCAGCCTCCAGGTCCTTCAAGCGAGAAATCACTAAAGCAAAGTCAGAGCACATTGCCAGATTTGGTGAAAAATTGGCCCACCTCCCTTCGGGAACTCGAGCCTTCTGGTCTCTTGCCAAAGCTGTCCAAGGGAATTTCTGTCAGCCCTCAATTCCACCACTGCATAGGGAGGATGACTCACTGGCCCATACCGCGAAAGAGAAGGCCGATCTTCTAGGCTGTCTCTTTGCGTCGAACTCCACTTTGGATGATCAAGGGAATGAACCACCGATATTATTGCGGTGTGATACTACGATGCCCGAAGTTATATTCCGGCAACGTGCTATCCGTAAAGCTTTGTCTTCCTTGGACATCCATAAGTCGAGCGGGCCCGATGGCATCCCTCCAATTGTGCTGCGTACTTGTGCTCCTGAGTTGGCTCCGGTTCTAACGCGCCTTTTCCGGTACCTTTACACGCTCGGCACTGTTCCGAAGTGCTGGAAGATCGCTTCGATACATCCGATCCCTAAAAAAGGCGATCGCTCTGATCCGTCCAACTATCGCCCAATAGCTATAACCTCCTTGTTCTCCAAAATAATGGAAACCATTATTAACAGCCAGCTCCTGAGGTATCTAGAGGGCCACCAGCTGATTAGCGATTCTCAGTACGGCTTTCGTCGTGGTCGCTCAGCTGGTGACCTCCTTGTATACCTTACACATAGGTGGGCAGAGGCAATTGAGTCCAAGGGGGAGGCGCTGGCGGTAAGTTTGGACAAAGCGAAAGCCTTCGATCGGGTGTGGCACAGAGCACTGCTCTCGAAGCTTCCAGCCTATGGGCTTCCTGAGAAATTATGCAACTGGATTTCCAGCTTTCTCGCTGATCGGAGCATCAAAGTCGTCATCGACGGAGCATGCTCCGACCTGAAACCTGTGAATGCTGGTGTCCCACAAGGCTGTGTCCTATCCCCGACCCTGTTTATTCTGCATATCAATGATATGTTGCAGCTTAGCAACATTCATTGCTATGCGGACGACAGCACTGGGGATACTTTTTACACTGGCCGGGCAGGTATTTCTCGGGCTGTTGTCGATGAGTACCGGAACAAACTTGTGTCTGAAGTCGAAACTCTTCTACGTGGAGTCTCGGACTGGGGTAGACTAAATCTAGTCCAATTTAACCCCAAGAAGACACAAGTTTGCGCGTTTTCCGCTAAAAAAACTCCCTTTGTCGCTACTCCCCTCTTTGAAGACACTCTCCTTAAAGCCTCAGCTAGCATCGGAATACTGGGCGTTGACATATCGAATAACGTTCAGTTTCGCGGTCATCTGGAAGGAAAGGCTAAATTAGCCTCCAAAAAGCTTGGTGTGCTCAGCAAGGCGAGACGGTACTTCACTCCGGGCCACCGCTTGCAACTATATAAAGCGCAAATTCGGCCCCATATGGAGTACTGCTCTCACCTCTGGGCGGGAGCTCCCCAGTACCAGCTCCTTCCACTTGACCGTATTCAACGAAGAGCGGTTCGAATCGTCGACGACCAGTCACTTTCCGTGCGGCTTGATCCCTTGGCGTTGCTTAGAGATGTGGGATCTCTCTGCATCTTCTACCGCATTTACCATGGAGAGTGTTCAGAGGAGTTGTTCGGTCTAATACCTGCAGCTGAGTTTCATCAACGGACGTCAAGGCAAAATACAAAATACCATCCGTATCACCTCGACGTCCGTCGTTCCACAACAGAGCGTTTTCTAAGGCAGTTTTTGCCGCGCACCACCACTATGTGGAACCAGCTGCCCACAGAAGTATTTCCGAACCAATTCGACTTAGGGTCCTTCAAGAAAAGAGCGTACCAATTTTTGAAAGGCCGGCAACGCACTTGCGAGCCTTCTGGCATTGTGAGTGTCCATGGGCGGCGGTGTCACTTAACATCAGGTGAGCCTCCTGCCCGTTTGCCTCCTATTACATAAAAAAAAAAAAAAAAAATGTAACTGTTGGGCATACTTATTAAGAAGGTGGCTTGAGTAAGGGGTAAAAGGGCTACTATTAAAATAATGGTAATCTAGAGTTTAATTTAAGTAACAAAATATTTGCAATTGTTTTTTGTATAAATAATTATAGTTAATTATTGTTTATCTTAGGAAATTAAAGGGTTATTTAATTTATTTATTATCGATGCATATGTTTAGTGTATTGTTGTACTTTCTCTGGGTTTCTTCGTGTATTGCGTTTTATAAATAAGATGTTGTCATTAGAGAATCGTAGAAAATTAATTCATGTATCGTTAATTACAACACACAAATAAACAATATTTACAATTTTCTTAACCTACATAGTCATACTAATAATAATAATAATTTTTAATTATTTTTATATTGTTAAGATATTATTTAATCAGGCCCGAACCTTTTAACTGAATTTAAATTTGTCCTTGCTTTCAGAAGAACTCTGAACTCACTGATATCCAGATTGAGCATTCTGATAAACGAGCTAGGTCTGGATATCCATAGTTCCCTCACACTTTGAAATCAATTGCCCTTTAGTTTTTATAATTAAACTAGTAGACTCGGCCAAGCGTTGCTCTGGCTAAGATTTTTGTTATATTACATAGTAAACTAATCAAGGGAAACGGTAGGAGAACTTATGTGAAACGTTGATAATTTTAACACAGCGCCATCTGTTAGAATTGTATCAAATAATAAACAAATATTTTGCAATAAATTAAAATTGCGACTATAATTTGAGATTTAAACTATCCTATCTCTCAAGTTGGATCAAACTGCACATGGTGCGCAAATTTGATTGATATCGGTTCGGTAGTTTAGGAGTCCATTGAGGACAAACATTGTGACACGAGATTTATATATATTAAGATTGTTTTGTTTATAATTTTTTATTATATCTTCGTGTAAGTTATGTTCGCCTATAAGGGCTTGTCTCATTAAATCTTTTGTTTTTTTGAAGTGAAAACTCCTTTAGCATCGTTGTGGTGTGAATTGAAACGTCCTAACTTATTTTCTCTCACGTTAAACCTTATGAATTTGTGTCTGTCTTTATTTTAGTTTTTAAATTTAAAATATAATAAAAAATTAATTTAAGGAAAAGTCTAATACATTTAGATATTGAAAAAAAGTACATATTATTAATTATAAAACTCGATATTAAACTTAAAAATTAAAATTACTTTCGTCTCATTATCTTGATACCAAAATTTTTGAAGCGGTCACTTCTACCACGTGTGAATTGTACACATGTTTTCTTTCTTATGTACCAAAGTATCTATCTTTTGAAAATAAATAAATAATTGATTGATTTCAGATATGCTGGGCAATTATATCAATGACAACATCGATTAATCTCGTCATGTTCGCGATTGGGTTTGCTGGCTTAGGCGCAGGTGGGCAAGCCATATCGACCGTCTACATATCCGAGATATCGGAAGACTCTATAAGGGGTGCCCTCACATCTTCAACCGTGTCCGCGTATTTCATAGGCCTCCTACTCTCGTACCTTCTAGGAGGGCAACTGGCATATCAGCATGTTTTATATGTGCACTTGGCAATGTCTGTGCTGTATATTCTTCTGCTTATGCTGTTAAAGGAGTCTCCAGTGTTTCTGATCCAGCAAGGGAAAGAAAAGGTGCTTCATGGTTATTACATGGTTATACATGATTATTAATTTAATAATTTTTGAAGGAAAATAAGACTGCGCCGACGCACCGAGGAATCGGTTATCTCTTAATAAAGCTTGTATTGAGTTATTGCCAACAGTAAAAAATACTATATATCATTTTTAAATACCCCGCTAAATTGACTAAATAAAGAAACTTTTAGTGGTTTATTTAACGACGTCACATTAATAATTATAGTAATTAATTTTGTAAATATTGACATTATTACAAGCAAATTATTCTATGTTATTACATGGAACTTTTAATGATGTTTCATTGACACAGAAATAGCAGTTTTATTTCTTTTAACAGTCGTTTAAGTATTTAACGCCTGTAGAAAAATAAAGGCTATTTGAATCTTGTCTTTGTGTGAGATATATTTTGTATCGAGATTTAGCTTAATATGCGTCAATCTAAAAAATACATAATCATGTTTAAATACGAATTGATAGTTGGCGTACCTAACAATTACACAAATTTTAAGTTTTTAACGCCTGTAAAAATATGAAGGCAATTGCCTTTGTGTAAGATATATTTAATATCGAGATTTAGCTTATGCGTCAATCTAACAAATACATAATCAAATATAAATACGTCAATCTTTGGCGTGCTTAACAGCATACGTGGTCTGTGTAGAATAGACACATGAATAATTTTAATAACTAAAAATTTTTTATCCATACAAAAGCAGCCGATTTCCTAACATAAGGCAAAGTTGAGTAAATGATATGTTACATAAGTATATTTTCAGGAAGCTGCCGAATCCATAGCCTTTTATAGACGCGTGGGAGTTGAGTCAAAGGAAGTTGAAATAGAAATAAATAAAATAAAAATGCAGCTTGATCCCCGATTTGAGCTGATGCTTCAATCTAACGAAGGTATCAAATTTAAATACAAATTTATTCTTGGCTTGGCAGTATGCGTGGTCTGTGCAGAATTTGCTTGTTAATTAATATTATATGTACTGGATAAATAACGGTAACTGCTAGTTTATACTGGGATTTTTGTAATTGAGAGTGTCCATGGGCGGTATCACTTAACATCAGGTGAGCCTCCTGCCCGTTTGCCCCCCGTTCTATAAAAAAAAAAAAAATTAAATTCTCGTAATTTTCACACTTGTATATTTTTCTAACATATTATCGTAAGTATTTAATTGTCCTTTTTTAGCATGTGTGATGTTTGATAATTAAATAAAATAAAATTGATTGCATTAATTACATGAGATCAATCATTAGTTGTATAATGTAACTCCGATCATGTTTACTGACAGCATGGTCATGATAATGCACACTATATGTGCATTGTGTACAGCTTTACATTTAAACACATAAACAATATTATATAAAGTAGTGTGAAATAGACACATTTTAATTCGATAATAATAATAATTTATTGTTTGATGATTCCAGATCCTAATGCAGTGAAGCACTTGCTAGAAAAGCCAATGGAAAATGCTAAGAAGGAGCCATCTTGGAAATTTTTAAGTGAGTACAGATCCAAAAAGTCGACGGGTGTGTCAGGCACAAGAGGCTGATTACCTATTAGATTGACTAATAATCATGAAACAGCCGTGCGATTCTGTTAATCCGAGAGTTCACCTCGCACTAACAACGCTCCCTTCCATTTTTGGAATCTCATGGTATTCTGTTAAGCAATCTCACATTACGTCTTGACAAGCGGAGGGAGCTTGTAGTTTATTGTTTATCAGAATGCCAAATCCTAAAATGACTGCTTCACGACTGATTTGAGTGCGACCGCCGCTGCGAAAACCGCTGTGAGAGTTCGCAAAGTGAGTTACAGAATCACAAGGCTGATACAGACATCTGAGGCCCAGACCTAAAGAGGTTGTAGCGCCACTGATTTATATTAACACTGCTTTCATATAAAATAAAATGTTAATATTATTTACAGTGAAATCTGAATCATCCAAGGGAGCTCTCTTCGCTGTCCTCTTTTGTATGGGAATAAACATCTTGATGGGTCCTATAGTGCTGCAAGTATATGCTGAGCCACTCTTCAAGGAGGCTGTACCGACGATGCACCCTAATCTATGCTCTATACTATTGGCTGTAGATTATCTAGCTGCTGCGTTAGTCTGCGCCTTTGTCATAGACAAGTTTGGGAGGAAGGTATTTATGAAAAAATCACGAAATTTGTGTTTGGATATCAGCCTGAAATGATTAATATATAAACTCTTAACAGAAGGCGATAAATATGTTTTTAAATTTTTTTAATGGAATAAAAAAACGGGCAGGAGGCTCACCTTATGTTAAGTGAAACGCCGCCCATGGACACTCACATTGCCAGAGAGCTCGCAAGTGTGTTGCCGGGCTTTTAAGAATTGATACGCTCTTTTCTTGAAGTCGATTTGGTTCGGAAATATTTCAGGTTCCACATAGTGCGGGACAAAAACTGCCTTAAAAAACGCTCAGTAGTGGAACGTTGGACGACCGGGTGATACGGATGGTATTTCGTATCTATTCTGTCGTCCGATTATAAAACTTAGCTGCAGCTAGGTTAGCTTAGCTAATTACAACAATATAGTGTTAGATACTTATCCAAATATTTGTTATACATTTATTGGTGATTTCCCTTTATAGTACATAATTGAAATTAATGTGTATAAATACATACACATTTAAATTAATTAAGTGTGGGCTTCGGCCGTTAGCTACACATATTATCTATATGAGAGAACTATATTTAGCATACAAAAACGTGGTATCTTGGTGGACTTTCTACGGGACTTTCTCCATATATTTACACTATAACGTAAACTTCTCATTAATTATAATGTGTGTTTCTAGAGTCTGATGACAGTCACATCAGTAGCATCAGGTTTCTTCAACATCCTCTTGGGAAGTCAGCTGCAGTTCCACTGGGCTCCTCATTGGTTCACGGCATTTGTGATATACGCTTATAGCTTCGTTTTTAACCTTGGAGCTGCTGTCGTACCCTTCGTTTTAACAGCAGAAGTGTTTTTGCCAGAGGTAAGATTATGAAGAGTAACTCTAACTAGTTAATTAATAGATATCTTAAAATATATAAATTACGCGTCACGTTGTTTGTCTGCTATGGACTCCTAAACTACTAAACCGATTACAATCAAATTTGCACACCGTGTGCAGTTTGATCTAACTTAAAAGATAGGATAGCTTACATACACACGTACAGTAGAATTATTCTACTGTACGGGTGTATGTCACTGAACTCCTCTTAAACGGCTGGACCGATTTGAATGATTTTTTTCGCCCTGGATGGTTTAGATTCATAAATCAGCCCAACAGATGGCGCTGCAGTCGGTACTTTCATACTTTGTTTAATATCCTAATCGCTTGAAATATCATGCAGGACAACGTCTGTCGGGTCTGCTAGTACTGTCGTACTGTATAAATCTTGTCGATTCAAAACCTTTAATTGGATTATATTAAGTAATTTTGAAGGCAGTTATTTGCTTACAGGTCCGAGGTATATGCAGCAGCCTGTCTATGATATGTATGTGGGTTATGAATTTCGTCACCCTCATAATTTTCAATCCACTGGTGGATCAGCTAGGCCTGGGTCCAACGTTTTATTTCTTTTCAATAATTTGCTTCATTGGAGGTACATATAGCCACCTGTGGCTTCCAGAGACGAAAGGATTGTCTGCTGACCAGATACAGCCTTTGTTTATGAAGAAGAAGACCAGAAATACATTAGGTTAAGTTGTATTGAAGTAAGATAAAGAAAATTTTCAATTAAAATGTACGATATTTTTATTTATTATTTTGAATTCCTAACACAATGGAAATGGGCGGGCCACATCGCTCGCATGAATAATGGCAGATGGGCAAACAGGGTAACGAGGTGGAAAAAAAAGATCTTAAAGAAGTTGGTGAGATAGAGAGAGATGGAGCCTATACTGTATACATATAAGGTTTTTAAAAATATATTTCTGAATAAAAAATTTAAGTATGTGTATCTTTTGTAAATATGGATAAATGTTTCAAGGAGTAAGTGAGGCTTGATTATCATTATTATTTTTTATCTATACAGCCTTAGCCTATATACATAATTTTTTTTAATACATATGTATTTGGGTTATTTTTTTAATGCATAACCTAATTCTAATATGCGGCCTAATGCACGCATTTGGCATCCTAAGTATTTCCATGCTAAATTGCATTAATTATAAGTATTTAATGAAATAAGAGAAATGGACACAAGAATGGAAGAGCTTTAATAAAAACAACTAAGGTAACAGATGTTAGAATAAAAATAAATAACTTACATGAAAATGGGCGGAGCATGTGCAAGAGGAACAGAATAGTGAAGCAATAAAGTACTAAACTGGTGCCCAAGGTACTTGTTAGTGAAGGTTAATGTTAAATCAGGTGGTTCATGGCAGAGAGTGGCACAGTCCAGAGAGGAATGGCGGGATTTAGAGGAGGCCTTACCTAGAGTATGTGTACCCTTTTTTAGCAGGAGATAGAAATATACATTTTTATCAAAGTATCTGAAATAAAAGGCTATTTATTAATGCTTGGTTGCAAAACTGGACTGCAAAAACTTGAAGCAATTAAAATTGAGAACAAAATAGGAGTGTGAAACGATTATACGCAACGAAGTATAAAGCGAAAATAGTTTAAACTATTATTAAGTAGGCTCGAAACTTTAGAGTTTAGACAAACAATCTTAATATAAATATAATCCAAAATAATTAACCAATTTTGACGTGACAATGTCTATCTAATAAATCGATGAACGCCGGCTGCACGCACGAAAAAGCATGACTCTTTGTCCCGTTACGCTCATTGTACGCTTGCACCGCATCTATCTCTCTTCCACTCGATTGGCCTATGCGTCCAAGGATTCTCCTTCTTTGTATCCATACAAATAGTGATAATTCATTAAAAATGATTCAATTTTATTCATAAAAATATGCAATCAATGTTTTGTTATGACGTTACCACGTTAAACTATGGTCCGTAAACCGACTTTATAGACAACTATTGTTCATTTGCTAATTTAATTTCAACATATACAAATTTTTCATTAATAAAACCATAACAAATTTTAATTATAAATAGATAAGCCAGCCACTGATAACAGGAATTCGGCGTGGAAAAATACTCGACATATGCAAATATAATAACTGATTAATATATTTAAATTTACATAATGTCTACGGAAATACCTCATTATTTATTTTGGTGATTCTATGAAGTATTCACATATAGGAAGAGTTATTACTTCAACAGCGTCAATGGCTTTGTAATTGTCTAGAATGAGCCGAGGCCGTTGAGGTTTGACACAAGAATAAAGAAAAGAGTATTCTTAAAAGAAAGAAAAAACACTCCCACTCTAGGACTCCCTGTGTCGTAGGCAGCCTTCCATTTGACACGTTAACGGTATTTGACAATAATTTATACATTACACTAATAGTCTATAATACGACTAGCGGACCCGACAGACGTTGTCCTGTCTTAACTATGAATATTGATTTCGAATTGGTATAGATAGCTAAAAAAAAAATATTTCAGAAACAAAGTGTTTATTTTTCTAATGCTTTGTGATATACAACATTCTTTGTTTGTATTTCTGTATATCTGTATATTCAATAAAACTGTATTCTTATAACTACCAAGTATTCCAAGTGTTATGTCAGTAACGTGTGTAGTCTATCCTAACTTACCAAAACTCGATATTAAATTGAGCTTTTAATATTAGGCGTGAACAAGTGACTTTCACTAGTATAATACTCGAAACAGAACAAAAAATAAAAAATAAATAAAAAGAAACGCCCAAGCGAAATTAGAGAATTATCACTGAATAAATTCAAAGCTCTCGTTAAACGTAAATTAATAAAGCTTTTTATAAGTGTACTTGTTTAGTTTATTTAGTTTTAGTTTTTACTTGTGTATTATTTTTGCTATTTTGGCTTTTTTATGTTCTAATTGATGTATGTTGAATCATTTCAACACGATTGTATAGGATGTACAAATAAATATTAAACTAAAGGACTATTTCTGTCAAATTGTGTTTACTGATTATTAATTTAATTAAAACAGTGGATTAACACCAATTTATTAATTTTTAGAGCCTTCGTCTTTAATAGTTAATACTACGTTTAGAATTAAGATAATTTTGCTAGGAATATGTTACACTTTTCACTATATTATTTGCTAGGATTATAATACATGCACATAGTAAGACGGGGCTGGGCAATTAATCAAATTTCGATCCCTAAAAAGTCTTGCTTATTGCAAAAAATAAAAACAAATCAGTGGCGTTAGAACCTTTATAGGTCAATCTGTTTCATGATTACGGATGAGAACACAGCAAAGCTTGTTTATTTCAGCTATTTTCACAGTATTATGTCATATGGTGTTATTTTGTGGGGTAATGCAGCTGACATTAAATCGATATTTGTAGTGCAAAAGCGGGCTATAAGAGCGATCTGTGGGTTGTCCCCACGGGAGTCGGTCCGAATGAAGTTTAAGGAATTACATATTTTGACTCTGGCAAGTCAATACATTTATGAGAATATTTTGTATGTGCGGAAAAATATAGATATTTTTAAAAAGAATAGTTGCTTCCATAATTATAGTACTCGTAATAAAGACAAAATTTGCGCACCAACCAGAAGGCTGCATAAAACGAGTAATTCTTTCCAAGGCAATTGTAAACGTTTTTTCAATAAAATCCCTAGTGAGATACAAGATCTCACTAGGGATTTTATTGAAATCAAAAAATTTTGTTGTCAATAAACTAATTTAAGTCGTACATTAAAGTAAAACTGCTTGCTAAGGCCTATTATAATATAAATGAATATTTAAACTACCCTAGTGCTTGGATATAAGTTGCTCCAGTATAAATAGGTAACGCGACTGAATCTCTCGGCTGCATTTCCAGACTCCGGGGCGATCGTCAACATCCACGACTGTATTAATGTAAAGTGGGAACAAACCGTGATCTATGTGGTATCAAATTATTTCAGTATTATTATTATTTTCTTATGTAGCCAAGTCCACATTTCAAGGATCGTCATGCTCGCTTAAATGTCATTGCTTGTGGCGGCGTCCATGCGTCGGGTTGTCTCTCTCCCTAAAATATGGCGAGGGGGCCGATGGCTGGCCATGCGTCATACTCGTGAACGGGTGCTACTTGTGGTGACTGGTCGTACTTGAATTCGTGTATGCGGTGATGTTAATTATTTCGACTATGTGTTTGCGTGTTGTTCCCACGAGAATGTAAGTGCGTGCTCCTATTTCACCATGCCTCCTGCTGATAGAGGACAAGTCTTTGTTTTTAATTTATGTTATTATTATTAATTACTGAAGATGTCATGTGGAACATGGTGTAATGGTTGCAGCTCCTCACAAACGTTGTGTAAAAAAAACATGGCGATTAAAAAGAGTGGCGGAGAGTTTATTGCCAGTTCTTCTCTTCCGTTCTACGCCCTTGATTTGAGAACTGGCAGTAAATGTAAAATTAGAAGCATTAATATGTATTTCTTTACTGACGAATCACAAGTGTATATTGTGTTACCTACGTGAATAAATGATTTTTGAATTTTGATCATTTGTCAATTTAATAGGCAAGTAGGTGATCAGCTCCTTTTGCCGGACACACGCCGTCAACTTTTTGAGTCTAAGTCAAGCCGGTTTCCTCACGATGTTTTCCTTCACCATTGGAGCGAATGTTAAATGCGCACATAGAAAGAAAGTCCATTGGTGAACAGCCGGTGATCACAGTCGACCTCGGGGATGACAGTCACACGCTGAAGCCCCTAGGCCAACACTGGTTACTAAGTATACCAATTTTTTCATCGTTTATTGATGCCCAGCCCGAAAGACCATATTGCTGAAACGGAACTTGACCTAAACATATTTTTTTCAATATTCAAAAAACTCGGCGAATCACTCGGTAAAAATTCCATTAGTTTTATTCGCACCATTGCCTGTGTCACTTGTGCACAATAAAAATGTAGATAATTAGTGTGTGTGTGTGTTTGTGTCTCAAGAACTGGTGGGTAATTTAATTTATATTGGTGCTTTTATTGACAAACTTGCGTATCTATGCGTATCTACTAACAATATTGGTCTATTGAAATATAGATTAACCAAAACCGGCTTATGTCTAGATAGCTATTGTTCATTAGGCGCTATATTAGACCTCCGTTTTAAAATTGTAATGTGTGTTTGTTCTGAGAATGATAATATTTTTTATATAATAAATTTAATTAAAAAGGCCGGCAACGCACTCGCGAGCCCTCTGGCATTAATAATGTCCATTGGTGGCGGTAACACATAACATTAGATGAGCCTCCAGCCCATTTTTGTAACATTTTAATGTTTGTTTGTTCTGAGAATGATAATATTTTTTATATAATAAATTTAATTAAAAAGGCCGGCAACGCACTCGCGAGCCCTCTGGCATTAATAATGTCCATTGGTGGTGGTAACACATAACATTAGATGAGCCTCCAGCCCATTTTTGTAACATTTTAATGTTTGTTTGTTCTGAGTATAATAATATTTTTATATAATAAATTTAATTAAAAAGGCCGGCAACGCACTCGCGAGCCCTCTGGCATTAATAATGTCCATTGGTGGCGGTAACACATAACATTAGATGAGCCTCCAGCCCATTTTTGTAACATTTTAATGTTTGTTTGTTCTGAGAATGATAATATTTTTTATATAATAAATTTAATTAAAAA